TTTGGCTGGTGTGTCCTCCACCATTAGGACCTGGTCACTCGGTTTTCCGATCTCAGGCTTGGTTCGAATTTAGCCCTCTTGTGGTACTGTCGTAGATCACTACTACCTCCAAACTCGGGACTTGCCAAATAGGTTTTCGAGTAAAATTTTCCTCTTCCTCAAATAATTATAATTATGTATAAAAATATACATGTAATTTATTAGCTTAATATTTTGGCACTCACCTCTTTGTTAAAAAAATCAGATAATAAATAACACTTCTTTAACTAATTAATTGGTTAACTAATTAATTAATTATTTAATTGATTGGTTAACTAATTGATTAGTTAAAATAAAATCAATTAATTAATTAGTTAAGTAAATAGAAAATTTTTGTTAATTTGTATTACTATATTATTGTAGTATTATTAACTACAACTATTAAATATTCTATTTTTTTTTCTTATTTTTTTTACTTTTTTTATTTTTTTTTATTTTTTACAACTTTTTAAAATTTTTTAAACTATTATTTAATATATTTTATTTTTATTATTTTATTACTATTTTATTTTATTTTTTTTAAATTATATTACTAAGGTATTCTTTAGCTATCTAAATTTAAAATTAGTTATATATACTTAATCTAGATTATTAAAAATAGAAAAATAAATGGTATAATATTATATCAATTCTTTGTAGTAGTTATACTACAAGTAATAGTTTACTTTAATGTATAGATTATTAGATAATTGGTTTGTATTTATTTATTATAATAAACTAAAATATATTATATACTCTTTGTAGTAGTTATAATATGCTCTAACTGCAAGTAATAGTTTACTCTACTGCATAAATTATTAGATAATTAGTTTGTATTTATTTATTATAATAAACTAAAATATACTACTTTGTTTCTATACTTGACATTTATAAAAAAAATAAAAAAAGAATCTTTAAGCAAATTTTTTAGCTTTGCTAATACAGTATAATCAAAGTTATAAATACTTTATTTTAGCTAACTAAATAAAAACAATATAGTCTTATCTTTATTAATATTAAATATATATATATATATGGGCTTGATGCTGAGAAAAAGGTGGAAATTGACAATTTTTCAAAAGTTGTTTTTCACATGAATCAATTTAAAATAAGATTAGAACATTTTTCACTTAAGACACAAAAGTGGTTGTGTTAATAAAATTTTGCAGTATAGCTTCTTAAAATTTGCATTTTCTTATGATTTAGTATAAGATTTACAAGATAAAAATTGATTTTCCCAATTTCCGCCCTTTTCTCAGCACCAAGCCCATATAATTAGTTTTTTTTAAAAAAAATCAAATACCAGTAAAATCCAAACTTCCAATTTGCCAATTAAAAGTAATAACTTAATTACTTTATTTAGTTGCTACATTTCTATTATACATATTTTTATTATGTTGATATATTAACAAATAATTAATAGATTATATAATAAAATTATTTATTTTTATAGTTATAGAATATACAAAATTTGGCTCTAATAAGTTTTTGATCTTTTTAAATAACATTTATATTTAAAAATGAAACTTTTTTTCACAATTTTAGTTTATAAATAAAATTAGTCAATAATACACTGTAACCGCGTAGTAACGACGTAGTAATACATAGTTACTATTAAATTTAATCGTAACTACATAGTTACTATACAGTTACTGTGCATTAAGAGATTTAAGTTTCTGCTTAGTACGTAGTAAATATTTAAAATAAGGTTGAAATAATATTTATTATGTAAAAAAAAGTCAGTTAAGTTATATAAAATTAAAAAATTTCAGTACGAACATGTATTATATCTAATATAACAAATTAATTCGCGTGTGCGTACGTATTGTTCATATTTTATTATTTTATTTTTTTATATCAGACATATATAAGAAGTTTCTACTTAAAAATTTAGAATTAGAAGTTAGGAAACGATTGCTTAGGGCTTTACTGTATTTATTTTATATACTGTAAAACGATAATTTATTTTATTTTACTTAGAATACCCGATCGATTGCTTGAAATATAACAATAATGAATTTAACATCTATTGTGCATTTTACGTAGTAAACCCGTTAATCATGATAAACAAAAAAAATTATTATTGTTATCATTGTTAAAATTAATCAATTAATTATATGTAAAAATTTTTAATGTTGAAACTATTTACACGAGTTACGTACGTACGTACGATATTAAAAATGTTAGCAATATATATAATATATATATTATATATATATAGTTATATATTTTATATGTATATATACTTTCAATTATAATTAGATACTGTACTTTTTTTTTTAAAGATTCGAAAACTGAGATATTATAATTATTTTAATATGATACTTTTAGGCAATTAGAAAAAAATATTATAATAAATAATATATAAAAATACTTTTTTTTTTCATTATTATGGTACAAAAATATGTGTAAATAATAAATAAGCGAATTAATAGTACATGTATTAAAGAATATACTAACATTTATGTGTTTAACTAAATATCTATTTTAACCTCTAAGAACATTTTTTTACAAATATATTTATCTATTGTTCAAAAAAAAAAAAAATGAATATATATTCGAACGGATATTGAATTTTAATTTAACGAATGAATAAAAGTGAGTTAAGTACTAAATTACATTGAAAGATATTTGTGCATCAAATTTTTTTTGATCGATTCTTTTTTCCTTTTCTTATTTTTTTTCCTTATGTTTTCGTATAGATTTTTTTTTTTGATTTTTCGATTTTTTTTTTTTTTTTGATTAAATTATCAACTTCAACATCAACCAAAACTAACAATTATAGGTAAATGCAACAAAAAAGCAACAAAAATAGATAAACACATCTTTGATTATGGTTTTTTTTTTGTGAAAAAAAAAACTCTTTGATTGATTGAAAAATATACAAAATGCAAATGATCTTGTAAATGATTGAAAATGATTTCCAAAAAAAGAAATGCTGATGAAAAAATTGATATCCTATATGATAGGAAAAAGAAAAAGATTCAAAAAAAAATTGAATGCAAAAAAATGCAAGAAATACATGCAAAAATAGAAGCTTCCCTTCCCCAAAAATACTTCTTAAAATACCACATGCGACGAAAAAAAATAAAATAAAATAAAACTTAAAAGAAAAATGTATAAAAATATAATACACAAAACCCAACACTCATCTTTCCTCACACAAATAATTGGTGCATCCTGAATACACACATCAACGCCGCATCGAAATAAATAAATAAATCGAAATTATAGTAACATTCGACTATTTGTAGAAAAATTCATCACAAAGTATTGGCCACGCCACACTTCCATCGCGTGTACAAGTCTTTCGTCAGTTGGATTCAATATGATTGGATAAAGAGGAAAAAAAAGTTCATTTGAGGAAATTCACATAATGTATGAATATCATATTGTTTTGATTGATCTACGATGAAGTGTTAAAAAAGATTTTATTAGTACAAAATTAAAAAGGAAACAAAAAAATATATATTATTATTAATACTAACCAAACTAGAGAAGAAGATAGATAATCCAAATGACTGCAGAAAAACTTGTCGCAAAAAGGAAATTTACGCGGGAAACATAAATAATCCATCCGCGCTTTGAACAAAAATGTTATGTGACATGACTTGCTTTGTTGAAAGATCTTCATTACGTGTAGCGTCAGAGTGCAGGATTTGAATCCAACAAATAAGGAGAACAGAACGTATGTATAAAGTATGACTACGGCCGTTCCTCGGTTGTCGTTTGCGTGAAGACAGACCAGGTAGAGTTTTGTGCGCATGATTAAAAAAGTGTGAGTACTTAACGTATGATGCATAAGTTTATGCGCCGCGTGTGTACGTATGATGCGAATGATGTTGAATGCTTGCGTGTTAGGTGTGATAGGCTTGCAAAAAGTAAAAAAAAAATATTGATAATGTTATAGACATATAAATAACAAGTAAAAGAGCAAATATAGATAAAACATTCTTTTAATTGTTAATCAATCTAATTAATTCTATTGTAGTTAATGATTTTATCAAAAAATCAATATAAAATTGGCTTTTTTTTTTCTTTTTTTTGATTTTTTGTTTTTTATGACCTTATTCTATAATAAAAACAGTATGTCTATCAAAAAGATAGAAAAAGAAAACGTAAGGGGAAGGGAAAGGAAAAGCGAGGGGAGAAAACGGAAAATCACCATAATATCTAAAATCAGATGACTTAGGGGACAATGAAAAAAAAAAAAGCCATATTATGGTGCCAAATTTTTTCTCATTGAAAGACAAGCGACCGTGATTGGATAAGATCCTATGGGTTAATGGCAAAAATGTTATTTTTGCCGTAAAGGACCACTCGTAAAGAAGGATGTTTTGGAAGGGGGATAATTGTTGGAAACTTTTAGGAAAAGTTTGAAAAAGTTTGATAAAGTTTGATAAAGTTTAAATTTTTGAAACGTCAAAATTTTTTTTTTTTTTGAAATTTTTTTTTTTTTGAAAGTTTAATAAGTTTAAATTTTTTAATCGAAAATAAAAATATCAGATTTTAATGCCATTCAGATTTTGCCAATTACGTTCGAATTCAGATTTTGCCAATTTCGTTTGAATTTATTTTTTTGCCAATTTTAAAAACTAGTGACGAATGGGTGCTATTATAAATATAAATATAAATATAAATATAATATAAATAAATTATATTATTAATTAATTAATTAATTCAAAGGTAACCAATAACAAAATATAAAACAAAATATTATATCAAAAATACGTACATCCAACAATTTTTCAGCCGACCACCTAGCATCACCGGTTCTAGTGAAGCATTTCTCCAGGAAATCGATAGCTTCCCATCCGATACCAATATCATCCTTCTTACTACGTAAACGTTGAAATCCATAAGGTTTTTCACCGTTACGTAATTTATTCATAATTTCTTCGTCGCTTGTACGTCCCCAAGCAGCCTTTCCAGTTAAAAGTTCTAAGACACAAATACCTAATGACCAAATATCGACTTTGGTGTCATAAGGTCGATCAGCTGAAACGAGAACAACGTCAGGTGCCATGTATGGAATCGTTCCAACCATGGAAGTTGTTGATGTAGGTGTCAATGAGGCGATACCAAAATCAGCTACGAAATTTTCAAATATTAGAATATATATGATATAATTAATATTAAAAATATTTTATATTTAATATATTTAAATAAAAATACATACCTAATTTAATTTCATTATTAGCACCAGCCAAGATATTGGAGAGTTTAAGGTCACGATGTATAATACCATGAGCATGTAAATGTTTTAAGGCTTTCAAAAGCTGTAATATTTTTTAATTATTTTAATTAATTATCAAATAATCAAAAAAAAAAAAAGATAAGTATAATGAAAATGAAAATGATAATCTTACCTCTCCAGTAACTCGACTAACTTCTCGTGGGGTAATTTTACCAGCACGACTAGTTACATCACCACGAGCACATTTTTCCATTGCAATCCACACCTCCCGAATTTTACCATCCCATCTTAAGTAACTTTGTTTATAATCAACAATATTCTTATGTTTGAGATTTTTGAGGACATAAATCTCATTGAAAATAAATTCCAAAGAATATGTAAGAGGGATAATCTTTACAGCAACTTCTTCATTAATAGAAGATAATGGATAGGCTGTATAGACTTTAGCAGATGAACCCTCATCAATAACTTTTTGAAGATCATAAAATTTAAGAGGGTTATCCATGATGCTGTTATCAGCAATCAAACGGAGATAATGTTGTAAAGTTGTAAAAGGATCATCGGAAGTTGGTGGAGGTGGTGGAGGTGGAATAGAAGGATCAACATTTTCATTAAGTCGACTACGACGAGAAGTAGGAGTCGAAGCACGTGATGTTAAAGCAGGTGATTGTGCACGGGCAGGAGTTGAAGGACGATTACTTGTAACTTGTTTTATAAGTGGTGATGATGACCTATTTTTTGATTCAGAAATGACTTGACGAGCCAAGCCATTTTTATTGGGGTTTCCAGAATTAGGTGAAGGTCGTGCTGGAAATGGTGATGAAGATCGATTAGAATCAACTGCAGCAGGACGAGCAGCAGTTGAAGAAGGTTGGGATGAAAGGCGAGAAGGAGTATAACCATTATTAACGTTGCGACCAGATGAAGTATTTTTTTGGGAAGCGGGAACCGGTGTTGGACATCGTTCATCAGAAGAAGTATCCGAGTTAAATTTAGAAGCCAGAACAGGGTTTTTAGGTCGAGAATTTAAAGCATTTAAGACATTGATTTTAGATTTATTTATAGAACTAGTGATAGTTGATGATTGACCAGAATGAGGACTTGAAACTGAAATTCCATTTTCATTATCGGTACAAGTGGTAGAAGAAGATGTAATAGGAGATGAATAAGAATCAATTTTTGATAAACCGGAATCGTCAGAGGAATCAGAAGTTACAGAAGACATAGAATCACGATGAGGATGAAGATGTGAATATGTTGGTGAAAGATGATCTTTAGATGTCGATAAAAAAGGTGAACGAGGTTGAGATCGTTGTTGTGTTAGGTTTGAAACATTACCGTTAACCTTTTTACCGGAGGCAGAATCATCGAATTGTTCAACAATAATATTGGGACGGCGAAGACCGCGTGGTGAAAGCTTTTTTTCAACATCAGCTTCTTTTGGAGTACTGGGCGTTTGAACAAAAGAATTATAAGGTTTTCGCATATATTGTTGATGAGAAGAATCCAATTCAAATTCATCATCATCATCCTCTTCTTCTTCTTCCTCCATAATAACACCCAAATCAGATGTCGACGAGGCACGTTGATTTTCATTGGTCAATTCATCATCATTACTATCAGAAACTTCATGATGATCATGTTTAACGTTACGGCCAACTAGATTCAAATTGCCTTGTGGAAGTCCGATTTCATCGATATCTTCTTCATTATCGGAATCAATTTGATTATCGGATACATTATTATCAGTATTATAAGTTTTTGGGTCGAATTCATCAATTTCACTTTCATCAGAATCTTCCATTATAACATCCCTAACAGCCACGGCCCTTTTTGCATATTGAAGATCCTGTTTACCAGCAATTCCTGATTGTCTAGATGAGAAAGGAGATAAATTATGATTCATAGTTTTATCTAAAGTTTTTGGGTGAGATCTAATAGAATTAACAGGATCTAAAATTTTTGCAATTGTTGGAGTAATAATATGAGGTTCCTCTTTAACATCATCAGAATTATTTATAGTAGTTTTACCAACGGAAGGTGGTGAAGTAGTTTTTGGGGCAATGGAAGGTAGAACTTCAGATTTAGAAGAAGGGTTAATTAAATCAGGGGTCGGAGATGGAGATATCGAAGCAGTAATAGGAGAATCACCACGAACACGTTGTAAATTGTTTGATATACCAGATAAAAGTTTTGAAGTTGAGTCAGATGATGCTACTTGTTCACGTAATGATTTATTTTCACGTTCTAATTTTTCAACACGTTGGGATAAAGCTTCAATAATATCAGAAGCTTCCAAGTATTCATTTTCCTTCTCTAATAACCTTTCTTCATAATCAGCAACTTGACGTTTTAGCTTCCTGTTTTCTTCCAATAAAGATTTATCAGGAGAAACAACAACACGTTCATGAGATCGACGATGAGCTGAAGCTTGATGAGAAGAAGTATGAGCAGAAACGGAGGCAGAAGGAGAAACGGAACGTGGTATGGGAGTTTTTGGGGTAGTATCTTGAAGTTTCTTCTTTAAAATACCACCTGTTGGTCTTTTTTCCCTTGAGATACTTGGGGTAACAGGCCTACGTGATTGAATTTCATGAGGAGTAACAGGTCTGGAACGAGGTGAGGCCGGTGGGGATTCCTCTCTTCTTATTATTTTTTTAGAGACAGCTTTATTTCCCTCTATAACATTTTTACTTCCATAAGGAGTTGTAGGTCGTTGTGGAAGTGTCTAATAATAGATTCAACAACACATTGAGTGTTAATAAAATTTTGTTGAGAATACTTCAATCGAAAAATTTTTACCTTAAACGTACTGTACTGTAGCGCGGTCTTGCAATACCGTGTACTTGACTATATGAATATTACCTTCTTTTTAGCCTCGGATGAATTTTGTAATGTTTGAATTTGTTCCTGAAATAATTAGAATTTATATTTATATTTTATGTTAGAAATTATATTATAAATTATATTATAAAAAATACTATTTTTATTTCAATTATATTAATAATTACCTTCACTGCTATCGACATGGCACCATACATGCTTGATCGGTTTGTTGTGGATGATGCCGTTGACGCGCCCTAAGAATTTAAGAAAAATACGAGATTTTAAAAAAAAGATTCTTAAGAAGGAAGCGTATTATTTTTATCATTTATTATTATTACTACTACTACTACTATATATTTATTATTACATATAATCATTAATTTTATATTATTATTATTATTATTATTATTATTATTATTATATATATATATATATATATATATATATATATATATATATATATGTATATTATATTTTTATTATTATTATTATTATTATTATAACGTGACTAAAAGTCACATGATTTCCGTCTTTTTTTTCCCATTTTTTCCTAACTTAGATAGTAACGAATCTAAATTCCTTTCCCCTTAAAAATCCCTAGATTTTTTTACATACCTGTCTTCCAAGACTGTCCTTATTCAGGGGAGATGTGGTGTATTTTGAAGGGCGCACCGCAGTGGGTGAAGTAGCTGGCATGACGTTATTAACTTTAATCATGAAAGGTACATATTTTTAAGAAAATAGAGAAAAAATAATAATAAGATTAATAACTTTATAAGAAAATTATTTAATAATTTTAAGATTATAAATCTTAATAAATTTTAATAATATTAACAAAAAAAATTAAATTAACCGAAAAAAATTAGGGATAAAAGAAATGAAAAAATTGATGATAAATTTCGAAAAAAAACGAAAAATAAAATGAAAAGAGAAGTAATAATAATAAAATAAATTGAAATAAAACTCTTTAAGCGCGTTTAAAACTATTCTTAATCAAAAAAATCGAAAAAAATCGAATCACGTGGATCAACAAAAAAAAACGGAGTCAGAATTCGAAGGTTTAGAAGGAAACTTTTAGGAGACAGAAAAAGAAAAGTACTAATAAAAGAATCGTAAAAAAGATATAAAACAGAATAAAAAGTAAAACTTTAGTGCTTTTTTTTTTTTTTTTTTAAGTACCTTTTCGAGACCGCTTATGCACTTCAGTGTGATTATTATCCAAGGTTATCGTGTGGGTGAGTTTTACGAACTAAACCACAAATGTTATACTTAAACTAAATAAATAGATGAAAGAAATTTTTCTTATTATCAAAGAAACACTTTGATAATATTTTAAGTAGAGAGGTAAAAAAAAGATGTCTAAAATCGAAGATTCAAAAAAAAATTTTTTTTTACGGGATTTTGAAGATTTATAGAATTTTTATTTTGTCAGAAGGTAGTATAACAGTATATATATGTTTTTATAAAGTAATATAGTATAAATAACGCAGTTTATAGAATAACACATATATTATAAATTATATATAAATAAATTAAATAATAATAATTACAGAATTAAGGAGGTAGTACCGATACATCAAAAATTTATATTGTAGAACTCGAAATATTAACCTATCATATGAGAGTGAAAAATACTATATGATACTATATGTCCTTAAACTTTATTTCGAAATTCGAGATAATAAAATATATAAAAAAAATTAGTACGTAGAAATTGAATAAATATTAAATCATGTTATATACTTATATATAGATATATATATTTTTTTATTATAAAAAAAAAATGTATTGAAATATGAACTAACGTGCAGACTCACCGAATGTAATATATAAAATGTAATAAATATAAATGTAATAAAAAAAAATGTAATAAGTAAATCTTATATACAAGTTTTATTTACCATACAACAATATTTAACAGCAAAGAAAGAAAATGCTCGGTAGCCATGAACGAAAAAGAAATAAAAAAAAAATTAGAATAGAATCAATAGAAAAAATTAAAATAAAAAGTATCTTTTTGATAATTTAATGCGAGCATATGCCTTATCGGTTATCAGAAAAAATCCGTATAGCATTGACTTTTAAAAAAAAAATTTGATATTTCTTATCAGAAAATCCGCATAAATCGACAAAAAAAAGTTGGATTTTCGGTATTTTTCGGTATCCTCGGTATTTTCGGTATCCACAGCATTCGTGAACGTGCCGGGATTGGCAAGAATCGAAAGATTAAAGCTTTAAAACGATTTAAGAAGATTTTAAACGATTTAAGAAGATTTAAAACGATTTAAGAAGATTTAAGAAGATTTAAGAAGATTTAAGAAGATTTAAGAAGATTTAAGAAGGCTTAAGACAGTTTAAAATCTAAAATACCAAAATATACAAAATATATACAAATATACAAATATAATATTAAAAAATCATCAAAAATCATAATATTATTATAAAAAATCATATAAAATGTATAAAATATACGGATTTTTTCTTTAAGAATTGGACGAATGAATTTTAAGAAAGATATAGTTACGATTTTGATCGCTTATTTTTTTCCTGATAAAATAAAAAAATATGTTTACATGATCGTATGTACGTACGTACCTGCCTACCTAGATACGTACGTAGTGTATAACTTTTTACCTAAAACTAATATTCATCAACTAACCAATACTAATCTTTGAGTTGTACACTACTTAGTGACAGCTTGGTGATACATAAAAATTTACAAAGTACAAAAAAACACAATATAATGTACGTACAATATTATGTCAACTATTATATAATATGACTTAGGTTAGTAAATCATGACTAATTTATATATAATCTTAAAAATCTATAACAGATAACCGAAAAATTATTAATACTAATATAATACTAATATAATACGTACTAATTTAATACTAATTTAATGTTAATACCTGATCATGTAATAAATATAATAATGATAACCTATATACGTATAAAATTTATATTACGTATAATAGTAATTAATAGTAATTAATATGCATAATCATTTACATTAAATTGACGTAATCACGTGTATAACCAGATTAAAGGTCGGGGCTTGGTCTAAATTTAGTATTTTTTTTTTTTTTTTTTCAACTGATATGATATTCGCTTGATAGAACATGATATTAAGCCGTTTTGAGGCTAGCATTCATAAACGTTTTAGTTATTAAAAAACAATACTAATGTTTCGAACGTAGTGGTATTGGGTAATAGTAAGTAAATAATGTAAATAATGTATAAAGCATAGTATGTTCAAGTGGATAACAAAGGTAAATTACGAAACATTTCTAAACAATAATTATACATATAAATAAAAAAAAAAGCTGCAAGAATTGATACATTTATGGGATTCATTAAATCATATCATATGAAATCGATACAAATTGAGAAATCAAAATCGAGGGATACGAAAAACTAATTATCATTGTCGTCATTTTCTGCGGTGTAAAATTTCATTTGTTGACTAAATGATTTTTTATGGTGTCAGTAACCGATTGATCACACGATCGTATATCGGAAAATTTTTCCCGTATAGTGCTTTTGTAGTGCTTTTTTAATTTCTAACATTAAATACTGCATCTAACATTGTTTTCAACTTTATGATGATGTATAACGGAATATGTCTCCCGAAACATACAATCCTTTTACTAAGATATTGTGATTTAATACATTGTATATCAGATATAAAGATATAAAGATATAAAAATATAAAGAAATTATAGTAAACCTTTATTATTATTATTACTCTAAGGAATTTTTGTTTTCATTGTTGTTGCATAAATGACTTTATTTAATGACTTTGTTTGATGAAACTTATAAAAATTTCATTATTTTCATTATACTTCATAACAACCTTAACATTATTCGTAACAACCTTAACATTATTCGTAACAACCTTTAACATTATTCTTAACATTATCTGTGGTTCGTAACATTTTTTTTGTAACATTTAGTTAGTAACATTTAATAACAATTGCAGTCGTAACACGACAATTCTATCGAGAAGAGAGAATATGTACGCAGAATTTTTATTTCATACATGGGCATCTGAGAACATCTGAAAATTATCTGATAATCTAATATATCTAATATATCAAAATATATCAAATATGTTTTATATTCCTAATATGTATCTCTGACCACATATACATATGAACATGACATTTTAAGACATATGAGGACGTTTGAGGACATATGAGGACTTCTGAGTTTATTTGAGGCTGAGTATTTTGATTCAGAAAGTAAAAACATTCAAATAATAATAATAATCCGTTTAGGGAAAATCGACGAAAGGTATCGTTTTGGTTAGACTGTTATATTTATAAATGCAGGGTGGATGGTTAGAAAAAGAACGTGGCGGTGACAAAAAGATGCTCAACTGATTTACAGCACATTATTAATTTATGTTTGGTAATATTAGATGTATGATGACTTATTACCTCCATAAAAGTAACTTATTTGTCTTATTTGTGTGATAAAGATAATGCTATAAAATTTTTGAAAGATTGTTGACAAAACTTAAACTTTACGTTAAAGTGAGGAATCAACAAACAAACATGAAAGCAATTAAAAAAAAACTTTGAAATGAAAAGAAAGATGAGATTTTCTTCTATCTTATATTCTTTAAAAATATATATATATTTATATATATATTATATATATTATATATAAGTTATAATTTTTTTTTTTTTTTTTTTTTTTTTTTTTTTCTTCATTATTCTCTTTCCTTGATCGTTCCTCCCGCTCCCGCCCGTTATAATAACATGTTAAGCATGAAATAATTGTAATTGTAAAGCAGGGGCTTTGAGTATCACACAAAGATTAAAGTAGAATGAAAAAATTATTAAAATGGAAAATGTTTTGATAAACAAATCGCCATGAGAATAAACAATTAGTAAACATCTTCCATACGGACTCTAATTATATCTTTAATAGATGGATTTCTAAAATTAAAAATATTCCATGATTTTTTTTCCCATTTTGTTATTTTCCATTTTCCCGCCTCTTAATTCTAGTTATTCTAGTTATAGCATTATTATAGATTTTATTATTATTATTATTATTATAGACTTATTATTATACCATTTATCGTTTGATTATACTACGTATACATTAATTTAATTATAACCCTTTATACTGTTATATACCTGTTACTTTTTTTTCTTATACGTATCGTAGCATTATTATCATTATTAACATATTTATAGCATTTTATAGCATACATATACATTATTAATAATTCCTTTGTGGCTTTGTTCCCATTCTTGAATGTATCATCGATGATTTCCACTTTCCAGGTTATTGTCTTGCTTCACTTGGCATATATTAAAAGAAAAAATGATACATACATACGTACATCAATTTGTTTACTATTTTATTTTTTATGATTATGACATTAAATAAAAAAAAGCACGGACTATTCCTTCTCTTTAAAGGCCGAGAAAGACCGAGACTCGGAAACCTCCCGTCTTTACTTTTTTTGTTGTTGTTGTTGGATAATTTGCCACATTTTTCTGCATCGTAAATGATGTCATTCACATTTTTTACTGTTTTTACTGTTTATTTATGGCTAAAAATAGTTTTCAATCATTCCGTTTTTTATAACCGTTATCTTTACCATTGTTTATTTGCGCCACCATTTTTATACAAGTTAATAAGATATATAACGATAATAAAAGGAATGAATGAAAAAT